CGTCTGAGGTCAAGAGTTCAAGACCAGCCTGGCCAATATGATGAAACCCCATCCCTACAAAAATACAAAAGTTAGCTGGCATGATGGCAGGTGCCTGTTATCCCAGCTATTCAGGAGCCGAAGCAGGAGAATCACTTGAACCCGTGATGTGGAGGTTGCAGTGAGCTGAGATTGCACCATTGCACTCCAACCTGGGTGACAGCATGAGACTGTCTCAAAAAAAAAAAAAAAAAAAGGTATATATAGACATTGCTCTATGGTTTTTTGCTTTGTTTTTTGAGATGCAGTCCTGCTCTGTTGCCCAGGCTGGAGTGCAATGGTTCGATCACAGCTCACCACAATCTCCGCCACCTGGGTTCAAGTGATTCTCCTGCCTCAGCCTCCTCAGTAGCTGGGATTACAGGCATGTGCCACCATGCCTGGCTAATTTTTGTATTTTAGTAGAGACAGGGTTTTACCATGTTGGCCAGGCCGGTCTTGAACTCCCAACCTCAGGTGATCCACCCACCTTGGCCTCCCAAAGTGCTGGGATTACAGGCATGAGCCACTGCATCTGGCTTTTTTTTTCCAGACAGAATTTATTCCTGTCACCCAGGCTGGAGTGCAGTGGCTCAATCATGTCTCACTGTAGCCTTGACCTCTGGGGCTCAAGCAATCCTCCTGCCTTGGCCTCCTGAATAGTTGGGATTAACAGTGGAGGATGTCCAGGTTCTTAGAGTCTTGAACAAAGAATTGGACAAAACACACAAACAAAGCAAGAAAAGAATGAAGGTATTTATTGAAAATGAACGTACACTCCACAGTGCGAAAGTGGGCCCAAGCATAGGGCCTCAAGGGCTCCGTTACAGATTTTTTGGGAATTTAAATATCCCCTAGAGGATTCCACTGGTTACCTCCAGTACACCATATCTAAATGGAGAAGATGAGGTATAGTTGACGAAGTTATTTACAGTGTACACCCTATGGAAGGGATATTTCCTCTCATAGCTGAAGCGTGAATCGGCCTTATGTTCCCTGCCTCCAGACCCTATTTTCCTGCCTCAGGACTACAGGGATGTGCTAAAGCGCCCCGCTAATTTTTGTATTTTTCATAGAATGGGGGTTTCACCATGTTGCCCAGGCTGTTCTTGGACTCCTAAACTCAAGGAATCCACCCACCTCAGCCTCCCCAAGTGCTGGAATTACAGGCATGAGCCACCGTGCCTGGCTGAGACCCTATCTAAAATATATAAATAAATATATAAATTCCACCGACAAGGATTGTCTTTTTTTTTTTTTTTTTTTTTTTTTGAGACGGGAGTCTTTCTCTGTCACTCAGGCAGCCTCACAGCAACCTCTGCCTCCTGCCTTCAAGTGATTCTCCCGCCTCAGCCTCCTGAGTAGCTGGGATTACAGGCGCCCACCGCCACATCCAGCTAATTTTTGTTTTTTGTTTTTTTCTTTTTTTTTTGAGGCGGAGCTTCACTCTTGTTACCCAGGCTGGAGTGCAATGGCGCGATCTCGGCTCACCGCAACCTCGCGTCCTGGGTTCAGGCAATTCTCCTGCCTCAGCCTCCCGAGTAGCTGGGATTACAGGCACGCGCCACCATGCCCAGCTAATGTTTTGTATTTTTAGTAGAGACGGGGTTTCACCATGTTGACCAGGGTGGTCTCGATCTCTTGACCTTGTGATCCACCCACCTCGGCCTCCCAAAGTGCTAGGATTACAGGCTTGAGCCACCGCGCCCGGCAGTTTTTTTTTTGTTTTTTTTTTTGTTTTTTTTTTGAGACGGAGTCTTGCTCTGTTGCCAGGCTGGAGTGCAGTGGCGCAATCTCGGCTCACGGCAACCTTCCCCTCCTGGGTTCAAGCCATTCTTCCGCCTCAGCCTCCTGAGTTTCTGGGACCAAAGGCGTGTGCCACCACGCCCAGCTGATTTTTGTATTTGTAGTAGAGACGGGGTTTCACCATGTTGCCCAGGATGGTCTCGATCTCTTGATCTCGTGATCCGCTCACCTCAGTCTCCCAAAGTGCTGAGATTACAGGCATGAGCCACTGCGCCCGGCTAATTTTTCTTTTTATTAGAGATGGAGTTTCACCATTTTGGTCAGACTGGTGTCAAACTCCTGACCTCAGGCGATCCACCTGCCTCGGCCTGCCAAAGTGCTGGGATTACAGGCGTGAGTCACCATACCTGGTTGAGGATTGTCTTTTTAAAAAAAAGAGAGACTTTATTCCAATGAATAGTTTGCAAACCAGAGAGATGGAGCCCTCAGTGAAAACAAAGATGTCTTACCAGAGAACAAAGAGAGGGGTTGTCTTTTATAGAGAAAGTTCTGCCCAGGTTCTCACTATGGTCCACTCATATAAATGAGGGATGCAATCTTGTCTGGTTCCGATTGACTGATGCTTGTTGAGTTCTGATTGGTCGATACAGGTCACAGTCTATTGATTAGGTCCACATCTCAGTTTGTTTGTGTTGCTCCAAAGGAATGCCTAAGACTGCATAATTCGTAAAGAACAGAGGGTTATTAGGCTCACAGTTCTGCAGGCTGTACAAGAAGCATGGCACCAGCATCTGCCTCTGATGAAGGCCTCAGGAAGCTTCCACTCACAAGGGTTGAAGGGGAACAGGCTGGTCCCTGGAGAGAGAAGAGGCAAGAGAGAGAGGAGGAGGTGCATGCTCTTATCAACAATCAGTTCTCTTAGGAGCTAAGAGTGAGAGCTCCCTCCCTCCTACAAGAACAGCACCAAGCTATTCATGAGGGATCCACCTCCATTACCCAACCACCTCCCATAAGGCCCCGCCTCCAACATAGGGAATCAAACTTCAACCTGAGACTTGGTGGAACCAAACAAACCATATCCAAGCAATGCAGTTCAGGAGGTGAAATGGGATTTTCCAGCAGCCGTTATTTCAGGCAGGATGAAGAAGAACAGACAGCGATGACCATCCAAATGTTACATGAGTGCGTGGGTTTCTGGGAATGCAGGATACATGGGTGACCTAGAGCCAGCAAATGGCTGCTTGGCTCTATTTTGAATTCTGGCCCAGTTGGCCACTCAGGATCCATCTTGAAGGACTGGCTCTTTCAGGGTTCACATGCCCATCTCTTATTGACCAAAAAATTGGCCCACAGGACATTACTCCCCCTGCACTTCTTGATCACACAAGGGTAGGCACTACACAGGTCCATGGTGTCTCCTGCTCCAGTAGCAATAGGAAAGCTCCAGGGCAGGAGTCTGAAGCCTGTAGCGTACGTGCGAGTGACGTGCTATTGTATTGGGTCTGTGCAAGCTGGTCACCATGGGGGTGGCCAGGCAGAATCCATCCAAGTAGAACTGGCCACTACAGAAGTGGCAAGGGGTGCAACAAGTGACCAAGGGCCTTGGAGATTCGGTAAGACTGCAGAGATCTCAGGTGAAATGTAAGAGGTGTTGGATACATTTCCTGCCTTGCACTGCTCACTCCCTCCTGTTATATGCAGTCCCATACTATTGTATGGATTCGCCACTACTGTAGCAACAAAATGCCCTCATTCCTTCCCAGAGGGCCGGTGGGAGTCCAAACATTCATAACAATTCCCTTTGATGTAGTAGCCACAACACTCTCTTAAGTAAAGACTTAAGGTGAGCTAGCTGGTGAAACAAACTAAGCTTTCTGCAGCTGCAACTGGTCCCAAGGCTGTAAGTGGTAATCCTCATCTCCCTCCTTCATTACTCATTTTGCATTTCCCTCACCCGTGGCTAGTGCTTTGATTGGCCTGGACGCTTTTCCAGCCTGCGCAATCCAGACTTTTATTTCTGAAGGATCTCAACCTTTAATTACCTTGCCTTGTCAGGCTGTGGTTGTTGCAATTGCTTGTTTTCTATCACTGGGTGTGGAGGTGCCAAAAGATGTCCCAGTAAGTTCCCTGGGCTCCAGACACACTCCTGACTCTGTGGTGTGTAAGAGCAACCCTGGCCCCTCATTGTAAATAGGGGGATTACCCTGCTGTTCTGACAACTCCTCCACTCGCAGGTTTGTGGCATGAGGTGTCCAAAGTGTCCAGATGGTCATTGCAGCAAGCAGGTCAATGGAACCCACACTAGGTCTCTGGGAAACATGCCCCCCCCCCCACAACCAGGCAGAGGCTAAGATTGTAGGGACAATTTAAATGCAAATGGGTGTTTTCTGTTTTGCTTTTAAGATGAAGTCTTACTCTATTGTCCAAGCTGGAGTGCAGTGGCACGATATCTGCCCACTGCAACCTCCGCCTCCCGGGTTCAAGTGATTCTCATGTCTCAGCCTCCCAAATAGCTGAGACTACAGGCACATGCCACCAGTCCAGGCTAATTTTTGTATTTTTAGTAGAGACAGGGTTTCGCCACATTGGCCAGGCTGATCTTGAACTCCTGAACTCGTGATCCACCTGATTCGGCCTCTCAAAGTGCTGGCATAAGCCACTACACCTGGCTGCAAATGGGTTATTTAAACCATCTGTAAGTAGGTCTCTTGCTTTTCCTCCCTTTCCCATTCTGCCAGCTCAGGTGTTATTTAAACTTGTTCACAGTTCACATATCATGCAATTTTTTACAGATTTTTTTTTAAGAGGAATAAAATATTTCTGCCTTAAAATCACTTGTTCTCAGCATTTCTTAGCCCAACACCTGAAATTGAAGTGGTCCTTTTTTTATCTTCTGATTTGAGATGCTCTAATTAAATCCCATCTCTCTGTATCCCACAGGCAGTGGCTTTATCTCCCAATTTAGTTCCCTTGGCGTTATGGTGGGTACCAGCCCCAATGCCGTACGTGGGTGCCCTTAGTCCCAGCGGTGATGAGGGATTGAGAAAAAGAAATAAAGACAGAGACGCAAGAGTAGAATTTACAGCAGGGGTCTAAGAGGCCAACGCAAGTGTGGGAACTGCCTTGGCCCCGAGCTCTGGGCTCCAGACACTTTTATTAAGTGCATAATCTCACTGATCTGGCAGTGGAAGGGGACGGTGAAGGGGCAGGTAAGATAGCTGGGTGGGGGGAGCACTTGAGATCCTTCTAGGATATGCTAACCTAGTACTCTGAGTTTATCAACGATTGTTATCAGGGTGCAGCTGCATCAGAAGTATAGCGGAGGAGGAGCCACCCGGTCTGACCACACCCAGTGCATCAAGGGGCTTTTCTCTCCCGAGCACTGAGGACATAGAGCCATTAAAATCACTCCATATTCCAAGAACCTAGGCAGAGTCTGAGGCATTCCATGATCTCTGCCCTGCAAGACTTTTCTCGTCCTTGCCAGCTTCCATCTGCAAAGACCCTCCCGGATCTTGTGAGCAGAGGTCACCTCTGTTCTCAGATATTTTTGCATAAGCCCTCTTTACGAGACCCACATGCAGTCTCCATGTTGAGAAGGCATTCGTGGGACCAGAGCAGTATTGCCTGTTTTGCAACCACCCTGCGGTGTTCCCCAGTGTTGCTGCGCTCTCAGATGGTCTTTACCTTAGGCTTGTTGTTGCTGCTTGATCTCTAATTAACTGCACCAATAATATAGTTTAGTTCGATGTATAAATTTCAGTGTACTCTGAGCCAAGCAAGCTTATAATTATTTAGCTAGAATTAACATAGGTCTCCCCTTTTAGTCCAGGTATCATCAAAACGTAAAATTTACAAAATTAAAAATAATAAAGAAAAAAAAACCCACAGGTCTCCCCTAGCCATCTTGACCCACAGCGTTACTCTTGTGAGTCCACCCATGTTCCTAGGCCCTTGCTCTAAGGAGCTAGCCTGGGCCAAATATTTAGAGACCTTGTACTCCATGTGCAACCCAGTTCTAGGCACTGGGGATTCAGTGGTGGCCAAAGCCAGCTTGGTTTCTATAACCCTTATAGAATCCAGAGTGATGAGGTACAATAAACAGGTAAACAAGATAATGCTGTGTAATAAATGCTTTGAGAAAACACAACATGTTTAGGTCTTCGTGAGAATGAATTATTCTCATGCTGAGATCTGAATGTGAAAAGGGGCCAATCATGTGAGGACTCAAGGAAAGAGGGTCCTGCGGATGCAAAGTCCTTAGTGTATAAATAGGAATAATGAGGTTAAGGCTTGAGAAAAATGACTTGGCACTAATGAGGTCAGAGAAGCCATGGAGGCCAGCCATAGGGCATTTTAGGCCATAGTATAGAGCTTGGATTCTATTCGAAGGGCAATAGGAAGCCAATAGAAGGTTTTAAGCAGGAGCATGATAGAATTGTTGTATTGGACCGAGTGTAGAAAGTTATCACCAAGATAAAAGTATGCCAGATTGCAGGGTCATTTATTATGCCGGCGACCACAGAGGACTCACGTCTCTCCAACCTGTGGCCTCAAAAGGAGGGTGCCAAGACTTTTTATACCTGAAAAACCACCTTGGGAGTGGGGGTGAAGAGCGGGGATGGGGATGAAAAGGTTTCAGACATTCCAAGGGCTAGGGGATTCTGTGATTCACCTCCTGGGTGGAGACAAGGGTGGGGGTCTCCGGACATTCCAAGGGCCAGGGGACTTTTGTCATTCTGTTTGTTACTTCAGTGGTTTACAGAAGTCAACAATTTGTTTACACATTTGTAATACACATTTGTTTACACATCGTCTGGGTGGTGATAGAAGTCACAGATTTTAGCAGTTACTGATAAGAAAAGGTAAGCAGCTTTACATAGTTTTGCAGAACAAACTAGCAGTTCTATTTACAGCGGCCAAGAACAGTAGTTATTGTGAGGAGAATGGGGCAGCCACTTCAACTTATTTAAAAAACAGTTTTGCATTTTATAAAATAGTGTTGCTCAGATTCTGGCTCTAGGCCAGCACAATATCACATTCCCCCCTGTTCTTTTAACATGTATTAAATCTTTAATAGGTTTCCTCTTCTTGACACAAGGGCCCATAGTTGGATCTCAGAACCGTCAATTTGACCGAGTCTATTCTTTCCTGAATAAATTTGAGGAGCATGTTTAAAAGGCATGGTCCAAATGTTAACCCTAGGACCATTAGCACTAAGGGTCCTGCTAATCCAGTGAGCAGGAATGTTAGCCAGGGGTTTGTGGGAGGGTCTCGGGTGAGAAAATGAAAGAGTTTCTGTTTGCAGTATATCCTGTTATAGTGGAGATAGTTTCACAACCCCAATGGGGGCAAAAGAATTCATTTAAGTCTCCACAGTTCCATCTTTTTGGCGGGGTGGATCCTGGGCACAGATATAACCCCATGGTCTGGAGTTGTCGCTCTGCCCCTAAACTGCCACACCCAGCTATACCTCCACTTGTCCTGAAATTTAAGTGGGGGACCAGAAGGGCACAGAGGTCCAGGGAGAAGGTAATGGGGGTCTCCGGAGTGTACTCCAGGGTTAGGTTGACTAGGGTGGATCCCTTTCCGGTTAAGGAACTAACATATGCTCCAGTGGAGCCCTTGGTGATGACCCATCGATAGTAGGTGGGTGCCAAGGAGGGTCCCTTTCGGAGGGTGGTTGCAGGAATCAGGGAGATTAGGATGATGACCGAGAACGGCGCAATAGTCTTAGCTTTAGGGGGTCCATTGAGGATGGAACGGCTTCCCATCCTGCATCTGGGCGGTCAGTCTTGACGTGTGAGTGGTGAATCCAGGCAGTCAGTCCGTCCACCTTGATTGCCGTGGGGGTGACCAGGATTACAGTGTAGGGTCCTTTCCAGCGAGGAGTTAGGCCGGAGGTAGTGACTCTCTTCACCAGGACTTTGTCCCCTGGCTGGAAGGGGTGTACCGGCTGGTCAGTGAAATCCACTGGGGTAGGTCAAGTTCCCCTGATGAGTGAGTGCACCTGGGACTGAACAGACTGGAGTGCCTGCAAGGACTTAAGGAGTGTATGGTTATGGACTCCAGCATGTATGGCGTTCGCAAGTCTGGGGAGTAAGGGAGGGGGACTTCCAAACATAATTTCAAAAGGAGTAAAGCTTTTTATAGGGAGTACATGGGGTACGGAGGAGAACAAAAGGAAGCAGGCTGACCCAGTTTTCACCGGTCTCTAGAATGAATTTTGTTAAAGTTTTCTTTATGGTCCGGTTCATCTTTTCAACCTGCCCTAAACTCTGGGGGCGATAGGCACAGTGTAATTTCCAGGATATGCCCAGGGCCTTTGCCAGGCCCTGTGAAACCTGAGCTGTAAATGCAGGGCCATTATCTGATCCCAGTGTCAGGGGCAAGCCGAACTGAGGAACGAGGTCCTGTAACAATTTTTTCGCTACTACCAGTGCGGTTTCTGACCTAGTAGGAAAAGCCTCGACCCATCCAGAGAAAGTGTTTACAAACACAAGGACGTACTTACAGCCGCACTCTGGGGGCTTTATTTAAGTAAAATCTACCTCCCAGTGTTCCCCTGGGCTAATACCTTTAAGTCTTATCCCTGCCTGACTAGGCCTACTGCCTCCTGGATTTACCCTGGCACATACATTACAACAAGTAGTAGTTTTTCTAACAATCTTATATAAGTGTGGAATGTAGTATCTAACCCTCAGCAGCTCAGTTAATTTCGTTTGCCCTAAGTGAGTGGCCTGGTGTGTGTGCTTAACCAGAGCCCATCCTAGAGCCTCAGGGAGCACAATCCTTGTGTCCAGTAGAAACCACCATCCTGTGGAATCTTGTCGTCCCCCCTGTTCTTTAGCAAAGTTTTCTTCCTCAGGCAAATACGTTGGGGTAGGAGGCAGGGTTGGGGCCAGCAGAGTCACAAGAAGAGTCAGAGGTTTTACTGGCCCCATGGCTGCCGATCTGGCCTGTAGGTCAGCCACCCTATTTCCCCTTGCCTCTGGTGAATCTCCTTTCTGGTGTACTTTGCAGTGTATTAATGCCACTGCCTTAGGCTTCCATATAGCTTCTAGTAGAGCTCGGATTTCCTCTTTGTTCTTGATGATTTTTCCATCTGAGGTAAGCAACCCTCTTTCTTTATAAATGGCACCATGCACATGGTAGCAAAGGCATACCAGCTATCCGTGTAGATGTTAACAATTTTTCCCTCCACCCAGTCCAAGGCCTTTATTAAAGCTATAACTTCAGCCTTTTGGGCTGAGGTTCCATGAGGAAGAGCCTGGGCTCAGATAACCTGCTCTAGAGTGACCACAGCTGCCCCAGCGTACCTGACTCCGTTGACCATGAAACTGCTGCCATCTGCATACAGTACCTCCTCTGGGTTCCGCAGGGGGAGGTCGGTGAGATCTGGTCGCGCAGCGTGGAGGACATCTATTGTCTGTTGGCAGTCATATATGGGTTCCTCTGGCTTGCTGTCAGGTAGCAGTGTGGCGGGGTTTAAAACTGTGGTTTTTGAAAATTTTATGCAGGGCTGGTCCAAAAGTAAGGCCTGGTATTGGGCTATGTGGGCATTAGACATCCATTTTCCCGTAGCTCCACGGAGTAGTAGCTCCACCACGTGGGGTGCAACTCCTGCCCCAAGGTCAGTTTGTTCGCCTCCGTGACTAACAGGGCCATAGCTGCCACCGACATCAAACAAGCTGGCCACCCAGAGGCTACGGGATCAAGTCTTTTTGAAAGATGGGCAACTGGCCGGGACCAGGGTCCCAATGTCCAGGTGAGCACCCCCTTAGCGACTCCCTGTTTCTCATGCACAAACAACTGGAAAAGTTTAGAGATGTCTGGCAAGGCCAAGGCTGGGGCTGCAGTCAGGGCAGTCTTGAGCTTGTCAAAAGCCTGTTGCTCCACCTCTGTCCGTGTCAAGGGCTGATTTCCTCCAGCGCAGGCATACAGGGGCTTGGCTATCTCAGCAGATCCCAAAATCCATAGCCTGCAGTACCCTACTGCCCCAAGGAATTCTCGAACTCGGCATTTTGTGGTGGGGTTGGGTATTTGCAGCACTGCTTGGACTCGGCTGGGTGCCGGTGCCCGGTTGCCCTTCTCTATAACATAGCCCAGGTAAGTCACTTTTGGCTGGCAGAGTTGGGCCTTTTTAGCTGAGACCCGGTACCCCAAAGTCTGCAGGGTTTTTTTTCAATAATGACTGGGTGGTCTCTTTACAGGCCTCCTGGGTTTTTGTAGCCAAGAGTAAGTCATCCATGTATTGGAGTAGGGTACACTCTGGGAACTCAGCTCGGAAGGCAGCAAGGCCTTGGCTAAGTGCCTCATCAAACAGAGTGGGGGAGTTTTTGAACCCCTGAGGCAGTTTTCTCTGAGTGAGTTGCCCCGAGACTCCAGTATCAGGGTCGGTCCATTCAAAAGCAAATATAGGCTGGCTAACAGGGGCTAGTGGGATGCAAAAGAATGCATCCTTAAGATCCAAGATAGTGTAATGGTGTTCTGGGTCCAAGAGACTTAGGAGGGTGTACGGATTTGGAACTGTAGGATGAACAGTTTCTACCCGTTTATTCACCTCCCTCAAGTCCTGCACAGGCCGATAGTCCTGTGTGCCTGGTTTTAGCATGGGGAGCAAGGGGGTGTTCCAGGGAGACTTACAGGTAGTGAGGGTTCCTCCCTTCAAGAGTCTGGTGATGTGCGGAGCAATTCCTCGCCTGGCTTCCCGGCTCATAGGGTATTGCTTCACCTGGACTGCAGTTGCTGTTGCTAATAGCTGGACCATGACTGGGGTGCGGTGATTTGCCAGCCCTGGGGGACTTGTTTCAGCCCATACTCCCGGTACACTCTCTTGAAATTTTGCGGAGGAAGTCTGGTGCAGGTGGTTGATCTGCCTCCGAGGATAAAGCTTCCTGCAAGAGATACTCGTCTGAC